TGCACCTTAAAAAACTTCTCATCTCTTGTTTGCTTACAGAAGTAGGAACACAGCTTGGACTGCAAGAAGCCAAATGCTGTGATAAAGTGAAACTCTCGTGCCAGGTTCCCCTCCTCGCTTTTTTTAAAGCTTCCAAAGATAAATTGCATTTTGCTTCCAGATAATGAAATTTCCTTGGAGGAGAGACATGTTTTTCTGTAGCTTTTGCGTTCGGAACATGAGAAGAGTTTTTATTTTAAATCTCCATTGAAAGTGTTTGTCTGTCTATATTTTGCTTTCTTCACCATGAATGCTCTGACTTCACAGAGCCAGCGGAGACCCTGAGACGGAATGTTTCTGTCACTTATTATAGCTTGCCTTGGCATAAAATTTAATCTTCAAATTTTTTTTTTTGTCCTGAAGAAATGAAAGTTGAAGCCAGATTAGAAACAGATAAAAAGAAGTCATCCATCTTCAGACAAAGGAATTTTTGTTTTTTTTTTTTTTTTTTTCTTTTACATTTGCCTTTTTTAATCCTCTGCCTTCAAAGGGAACAAAGAGATCCTTCCACCTGGAAAGACTGGAAAAAAAGAGAAACGCGGAGCAAGCAGCATGCCTGATCCGTGCTTGTGTTGTCCTGTGACCAACGTGTCTACTGGGACTTGCAACCACCCTGAAAATCCCAATTAAAAGGAAAACCCAGGAAGCAGAAATTGTGGCACCTGTGAAATCAAAGTGATTTTTTTTTTTTTTTTTGGCTCCTAAGAGGAGAAGTCACTGATCTTTACCTTGTCCTGCCGAGAGAGGTGGTCCTGCCAGCCATCGGTAGAGCAGCAGGCGCCTTCCCCGCTTCTGTAGCTGGTGGCGGTGCGGAGCGGAGCAAGCTGCGGATCCATTGCGCTATAGGGTGTCTGATGTCACACCAGAGCCTGTCTTAATATTGCTCTCATCTTTTGTTCAATCATGTGTAGTGATTAATATGTTCTCAGGCACTGAGAGGCTCCAGGCACTTGGCACTTGACTGTCTCCTATTTCTGTACTTAATAAACAGAATATTCCACAAGAAGAACTTGCAATTTATCTTTCGCTACTGTGCGGGGAGTTACTCCGAGTCCTGGCTCTGACTGCATCTCTCTTTTGCCCAGGGAATTAATAGACTCTTCCATACCCTAGCTCCCTCTGTTCTCACTCCGGTTGCCAAATTAACCTTCATCTCACCTACTTTTTCTTCACGTCTTGCTTCAATTTAGTCCTCAAATTGTTCACATGACAAAGGAGTCGTCCTTCCTACAGCTTCTACTTCTGCTCAGATAAGATACCTGAATCTTCTGTGAACGCCTGGAGAGGAGAATCACTTCTCTCCCTCCCTTTAGTTTCTCTGTGGTATTTTAAGTCCAAAAGTCTCCCTGAGGTTATTTCTCCTGGGATTGCAGTGAGCAGTTTGGACTGCACTGTGCCAAGTGACTGAGTTGTGCCCTGAATACACCGAGCGTTTACTGGTGCTAATTAATGTTATTACATCATATTACATTTATTTAGACTTGCAGGAGGAGGGTTGACTGCACGGGCGGTGCAGCAGGGGCTGGATGCCGCTCACCAGCATCACCCGTGCTTACCTGCCTCACCCAGCTCGCATCTTGTGGCACACCAGACAAGTCAGAAATGCTGGAAAACTGAAGGAATCTGCTTTTCTTATCAGGGAGAGGATTTATCAGCTCCTCAGGCTTTGGCTTCTGGGAGGATGCTGTAGGTGCATGTTTTTTCTCTGCAATTAATGCACAGGCAAGCTGCGGGGAGCAGCCTGCGCTGCCTCGGCAGGATTAGGGATGCGAGAGCACTGCTGAGGACGGCTCCCGCGCTGTGCAGAAATCTGCCTGGCCTCGGCTTAGAAAATAAACCGGGAGCATCACGGCTGCTTTAGCACCTGTGCTTATGCTGGCTAGGGGAGGCTCCCGTGTCCTCTGCCAGCTCCTCCGCTCTGCGGGGCGGATGGATGCAGAGGAAGGCTGGTTTGACCTTTATGCCTGCTCCGAGCTGCTCCTACGTTAGCGAGCAGCTTGTCGGGGACCTCCTGCCACCAAGGGCACCTTCCCAGCGAGGCCCCGGGTCTGAGCAGGGCGGTAGCTCTGGTGCAGGACAGGAGCCTTGGTCACCCTCTGCGTGACGCACCTAATGTCGCAGGAGGTGTCGGCCTCCCAGGGCTTGGGCTCGGTGCTCCGCAGCTCAGAAGGATTTGGGGTGACCCCTCCAGAGCCCCCCTTGCAGCGTGGTTGCCGCCATCACGTGCAGAGGGCCGGGCAGGGTGGGATTCATCTTTGTGGTTCATCTGGGCCCTTCGCAGCCGGTGCAGCGTGGTGGGGGAGGAGGGGGACGGTCGCAGGTGGTGACACCTTTGGTCCTGAAAGCGGTTTCAAGGGATTTTTGAGGAGGAGATCTGTGCTGCAGCGTATGATATCTATTGATGTTTCCTTTTGCTGGGATCCCAGATCTTCATCTTCCAGAAGGGGTTTGGCATTGCCTGAAGCATCATCAGAGAACAAAGGCAAAGCTGTTAATTAAGACAGAGCTAATTCTGGCAGCCGACTGCCGCCATCTCGATGTGCTGCCGGCTGCACGCCGCGGGAACAGAGGCACCGGCCGTGCTCACCGGGCACAGGGCTGCCAAAAGCCTTCTCGGGGGCTGTCAGTGCTCCTCACGGGGCTTTGCCCTGTGCCCGTCCTGCACGGGTGCCCGGTGGGCAGGGCTGGAGGGTACTCGTGGCCTGGAGGGGTGGCTTTGCCTTCTGCAGGGTGCTTGCCGAGAGCCACAGCGTGCTGCTCTTTTTGCCTGGGGTTTGGGGGCCTTTTGCTACGCCGGGGGCTGATGGCAGCTCTGGGACATGGGGTCCTGGGGAGAAGCAAGCGAGAGGGGACCTTGTTGGTGGCCTTCTGGTCCTGGGGTGGGGACCAGGTAATGGATGGGGCACTGTAGGAGACGCCTTCCACGCATGGCTGGCTCAGCGGGGGAAGCGGAGCAAAATTTGCCCCCAAAAGCAGCCGGCTTTAATGTCCTTGGTGCATCCTCGGAGAGGACGGTGGTGGACATGGTCTTTGTGACCGCTTTGGGGCAGCCGGTGACCATAATCCCATCAGGTGAGCAAGAAGAGGTGGCCCTGTGCTGCTGCCTTCCTGCGCCCGCCCTCTGGACGGCAACACGGCAAAGAGGCTTTTTCTGAGCCTCTTGCTCCAGGAGAAGCAAAGTGTGGCTGTTCAGAGGCTCGGAGCAAGGCTGACAGAATAGAAATCTTTTTGAACAAACACAGCTGGCTTTTCCCCAGCGCAGCCAACTCTTTGGCCAGCTGAAAAGAAATCAGAAGAATATTGATGTAGTATTTTTAATTTTTTTTTTTTTTTTTCCCCCCATACAGAAATTGTCAGGCTTTTTTTGGTCAAATGTTAGTTTCTGAATGCAAGTTTTTCAGTTGATAACAATTATTTAGGGAAAAAAACAACAACAAACCAGACAACTGAGGCAGTTGTCTGGATAACTCACAGGCTCAGCTCTTTGCCTCTTGTATTTTCAAACGATTAACATTTTTTTTGCTTTGCACATCATGAATATTCTATACTTGAGCTGTTACTGAGTTGTGCTAGATCAGATAAATAACATGGTGTTGCTTTTGTGGCAGACTGGATAAAGATGCAAATAATACTGACATTTACTTCACAGTTTTCTTTCTGTGATCCTCTGAGTGAGTAAACTGGATTGCTGAGATATTCATGGGAAGGAAATGAAGAAGGGTTGTCAAGATGAAAGCAAATTTCCTTAAAACTTAGCCAGAAGGTTCTTGGCAATTTTTTCTGTTATTTGCTCAGCTGAATAGGAGCTGCTTGAAATATATTTTGCACAACTGCAAAAGAAAACTCTCGTTCCCGTGGCACCGCTGAATATTTTTTGCGTGCTCTTTCATGGAAAAAGCTGATGGTTTTCCAGTGCTCGGTACCTCCGCGGGGTTGCTGGTGCCACTGCGGTAGTGGACGTGCGCCCTGGCTGCAGGCAGGTGACTGTCACCCGAATGAGCCCTTTGCTGCCTTCCCTGCCCTCGTTATTTTTTTTCTTTTTCCCTCTCCCGCGTGTGCCGGAATGCAGGAACCCAGTGGGAGGGAGGGATGGGGTCAGCTTTGCGGCAGGCGAAGGGGTCGCCTGGTTGGGGAGAGCAGCCAAGAGGGACGCTGAGGCCTGGGAAGGGCAACGGGAGCTGGCTTGGTGCGGTGCGTGGCGTGAGGGGGGGGACGGGGCGAGCCTGGTTCTGGTGGGCTCCTTTCAGTGCCCACGGGTGTAAATGGCTCCCGGCTGCGTGGGGGGGGGTGACACCCCATGCTGCCAAAGGCTGGTGGGCATGAGGATGTGGCACTGGGGGCTGGCGGTGACAGGGGGACTGCTGTCTCCACAGCAAAGGAGGGCTGCTCCCCTGCTGCCGGGTGCCTGTCTCGCCTCGGGCCCCAGAGTGATGCCCTGCAAACGGTAAGGGTGCCAGGAGAAGGCAAGAAGCTGAGGAGGAGGCAAGAAGCTGAGGAGATTTCCCCTCCCGCCCCCGCCATTGATCTGAGCCTGAGGTGGGAGCAGCCATGTTTTGGAGGGGCCAGTGCACCCGCCTCGGCGCGGGGCTGCCTGTTTGCTCCCGCTTCCTTCTGCGGGCACCAGAAGGGAGCTGGACTTGCGGCGGCCGGAGCCAGCCGCCCCGCTCCCGGCTCTCCCCGTCCCCCGCTCTGGGGCCCTGCGGGGCGGGCTCGGGGTCCGCCCCGTCGCGGGTCCCGCTGAGGGGAAAGGACCGGAGCGGGGGGGGAGGACGAGGAATGTGTGTGGGGGGGTAGGGGTGGGTGGCGGCGGCGGGCCGCCAGGGGGCGCCGTCCCCCTTCGGACGGCAGCGCGCGGCGGGCGGGGGTGGGGCGGGGCGGCGGGGCGGGCGGCGGGGATTGGCGGGGCGGCGGTGGGGGGCGTGGTCGGGCGGCGGCGGGGGCCGGCGGCGGCGTGGCCGGGCGCCCCACTCGCGGCGGCGATGTGACCCGGGCGGCGTGGGGAGGCGGCGCGGTCCCGTCCCCCGGCCCTGGCCCTGCCCTGCCCCGCGGACGCACCCCCATGCCCGCTCACGGCCGCCCGCCCGTAGCGGCTGACGCCTGCGGAGCAGCGACGCGCGGGGCGCGGGGAGGCGATGGCTGCGGATCTGGTGGTGCTGCTCTGCCTGGCCGCCGCCGCGGCCGCCGTGGAAGGTGAGGCGTGGACCGGGAACGGGGCGGGGGGTGTGGGTGTGGGTGCTGAACTGCGGGTCCTCTGCGCCCATCGCCGGCGTGCGTGGGCTGGGAGCGCCTCCCGCGGCGTCTGCAGCCGGGGAAACCGGCTTCCCTCCTGCCGTGCGGCGTACCGGGGGGCCGCAGACCCCGGGGGCTCGCTGTCGGCACGGCCCGGGGCCGCCGAGATCCCCTTGGCACTGCCCGGTTGTGCCCGCAGCCCGGGGGAACTGGCCCGCGGGCGGTGCTGGCAGCCCGGGGCTCGCCCACGGGCCCGTGGGTGGCCTCGGGAAAGGGCAGGGGTTGTATTTCCAGCTCTCGGGGACGGCTCCGGGAAACCCGTCCGGATCCGCGTGGGGCGGGCGGGCTGCCCTGGGTCCCCTCCCCGGCGGAGCCCTGGCCGGGGTGGCGGTGGGGGACACCTCCAGGGTCCCCTCCGGATCCCCTCCCCGGCGGGGCTCAGCCCAGGGCCGCAGTGGGGGCCATCTCCAGGGGCCGTAGGACTGCCTCTGGCCATCCTCTTCCTCCCATGCCTCTCAACACCCGTGGGAGCTCAGGACAGCTTTGTGGAAGATGAGGACGGATGCCCCAGGAGCTGTGGGCAGGGGGTCTCCTTCCCTTGGGTCTCACGGGGGGGGGGGGGGGGGGGGGCCGGGAGGCGGCTTGGCCCGTCGGGGCAGATGTGTGCCCATCCCTTCACCAAGCTCCGTGCCGTCGGGCCGAAGTCTCTTCCCTGTCACCCACCGGGTCGTGGGACTCGCCGAGCAGCGGGACGGTGCCCACAGCCGAGACCCGGCCTCAGGGCGGTGGGCCTGGCAGCACCACCAGCTCCCCCCAGGCTCATACTGGTGCTGCATCCCTTCTCTCTGGCTGGCATGCCTTTTATATTGCTTATATATATATATACACACATTTTTTTTTTTCTTCCTTTTATTTTACCACTGCCTTCTTTTTTTTCCCCGGTACGCAAAAGGGCTTGTGGCAGGGGTTCCCCAGCGCTTGAACGGTGGCTGTGAGCGGGGGACACGGTGCGGCCCCTCGCCCGTCGGCAGCGAGAAACGCGTGGTTGCGGGGGGTCTGGTGGGCGAACGGGGCTGCTGGCTGGCGTGGGGCTTGGCCGCTCCTCGGCGGGGATGTAGCTGATGTGAGCATGGTTGGAGCTGCCTGGGGACCGGTGGCTCAGCTCTGGGCAGCGCGGAGCTGGTTCAGGAGGTGGAAGGCTGCTGTGATGGTCTCCAGTGGGGTGGGAGCGGGGTTGGCCGCAGTTGCCCTCCGCTCGCAAGCACGCCTGGCGGGCAGGCCCGCTTGCTGCGGCGCCTGCTCCCCACCAGCTTTCGGCTGATCCAGGCGTTTGCTTTTCTTCTTCCTCGAGCTTTCCTCCCTCTTTGCGTCTCGGCAGAAATAACTTGAGGTGGAAATGCTGATGCCTTGCCTAATCGTGATGCAAACAGGCGCGCGTTTGCTCGGTTGCGGGAGCCGCACGTGAAAACGCAAGACTTGTTAGCGGCACTTCGCTCGCCGGCGCTTGCAGCGTCAGCTGCTTGAGGCAGTGCCGAAATTGTGGCTGGCGGGGAGTCCTTGGCTCGGTCCCTGTCTGAGAGCGCTCCTGGGCGGCGTGTCCGTGTGTCACGCAGGGTCTCCCCTGGCTTGCCCCAAGCCACCCGTGGGAGCACGTGCTGGGCTGGCAGAGCCAGCATCCCTGCCCGGGACCGAACCTGTTGAAGAGAGGTGTTATTTCTACTCTGCTGAAGAAATTACTTGGATAGTAAAGTAGTATCCTGGGAGAGATCTGAGATTTAAGGGAAAATTTTGGATGGGGAATTTCTGAGGCAGAGAGCAATTGAATCTGATGTGGAGTTAAGGTGACAGTCTCCTGGCATGGTCGTATAAAGAAAACACCTTTTTATGGAGCTTGCTTAAATCTTATGGATCCTCCTGGTGCAGAGGTTGAATTTGCTAGATTGCAACGTGGATTTCTTTAACTGAGCTGAAGCATCTCCTAGAGCCTGACCCACCCTGGGGTCTGGCTTTCTCCCTGGAGTGGCCACGAGACTGATTTTGCTGGCAGCCCTCTCTGGCAGCAAGGCAAAGCCACGGCTGAAGCCCGGCTCTGCCACGGGCTGCAGAAACAGCTGAGAGAGGGATGGCTCCCTGCATCCCAAATCAGCCACCGAGACAAAAAGTCTTTTTTTCCGGCATGGTAGGGGGGAGACGTTTGGGGGTCTGGACCCAGTTGGAGGGGGAGGAGGATGCAGCCGGGGTCAGGGCTGGGGCTGCCTGCAAACATCTCTCTTTATCCTCCATAAAACCTTGCTAACTCATTGCCTGCGGCACGCAAACCTGGGGATAGTAGGGTCGCTTATCTGAGTTTTCTTATGGTTACTTGATTTTTACCAAACCCTGTGGCTTAGCTGACCGTTTTCTGCTGGACACCTGGATGTTTATAGTAATTTTTCATTTTTTTTGGTGGCTTGTGAAGAGGAAGAGAGACGTGAGAAGATGACAGGAACAAATACTCCATCTCTCCCACACCCTGCAATCACTCAGGAGCCGCTTGCGTGTGCTCTCTCTCGTGTTAGCTGAACCAAATATAATCACATTTAGCATATAGAGAGGGTGGTAATGGGCCGATGTTATGCGTTTTACCACGGGAGCTGTTGGAGTTTGAGGTGTCGGTAGGTCAGATGGGGCTAATGTCCATTTTGGTGCAGCTCTTCCACATACGCTATTTAATCTACCTACCTGCTTACCTATCCATCATCTCCCTGCCTCGCGCCTGCTCTTTTTAAAAAACAGTTTTTTCTCTCAGTTTCCTGTATGGGTGCTTGCAGCATCACAATAAGCAAAGCACGGGAGGGGAGGTGGATAGCCCTGTTCTGGGCTGGAGGATCCAGCTCGGTTTTGCTTCCTGTGCTTATCCTCTCTCTTGCCTGCCTGGCCTTCGGAACCGCAGCCCGGGAGAGGACGGGGCATTTGGTTTGAGAGCGACATCCCTGGCTGCTGCTCCTTGTGTGCCGCCTGCCCCGGGCACCATCTCTCCTCCCGTTTTGGCTCGGGATGCACACATCTGTTGCAGGCATCCTTCGGGCTTCCTCTGCTTCCGCCAGGCTCCGGAGCGGTGCTGGTGCCGAGCAGGCTGAGAGCTGGCGGCCGCCGCGCTGCCCTTCCCGTCACCGCCTCGGCTTCCACCTCTGGCCCGGCTGCTTCACCCAGAGCAGAGCGGTTTTCAAGGAGAAGTCTTTCAAGAGAGAATTTTCAAGTGCTAGTACCCTGCACGGGAATTTGCAAGTGCCAGTATCCAGCCATCGCTTTACTTTTTCTGAACAAACTATCTGGGGAAGGAAAAAAAAAAAAAAAAAAATCTTAGGGGAAAAACCTTATTCTTGGCACGATGAGTGAGCCCAGATCTTGTCAGCCTGAAGGGAAAGCATTTTGTCAAGTCATGGAAAAGGGACCTGAGTCTGCAGATGCCTGTGTTGCTTTCTTTTGACTAATTGCTGGTATCACTGACTCATTATGCCTTGTCTCAGTCTTCCTCCTCCCTTCCAGTTTCCCTCATGATTTGGGCTTGGAGATGGGAGTGAAGGAAAGGCAATGTCCCGGTGTCTCTGGAGGTCCTGCTGGCCCAAAGCTGCAGGTGACCTTGGTGGCTCACGCCACGCAATATGACAAAGTGCTGGAAAACCTGGGAAAGGGGGATTTTTGTCCCTGGGATGCTTCAATGCGGCTCAACTTGTGCAGAGATAGCTGTGGTACGGCTGTCCCTGAATCGGCGTCGGTCCTGCTCAAACCCATCTCGTAGGCGACTTCAACTGCATCTTAATTTCATGTTGGTCTCCTTCCTTAAGGTGAAATGCTTGATTTATTTTTCGCTCTAATTAAAGCTTTGAATTTCACTTTCCCCAAACGTAGCGCGGCCGAAAGTTGAATAACTTACAGCGCTCTGGTGGCTCGGCTCAGGAAGCCTATTAGAGATGAAAACGAGCGCAGGCGATGATGGAGAGATCAGAAAAGCAGCGCTGAAAATGGAAAGCCTGCCGGTTGGGTTGTTGTTATTAGTATTTATTTGATGCTGAAGATGGTCTTGGAGCAGTTAATGCAAATAAGGGCCCTGAAAGAGCTCTCTGGAAGGCAGGTGTGGAGAAGGTGGGGTCTGTGATAAATACATCTATTTTTCTGCTCTTTCTGTTCGCCATCTCTGTATGGAAATTGGGTTGTTGTTCAGTGCTCCCATGTGTTTAGTGGCCCTTTCTGCTGTGGCGTGAGCTGCTGGTGGGGGGGGGTTGCAAGGTCGCCTCTCACCCATCCATGCTGCAGCTCCTGACAGAACGGGACAGAGCAAAAACCTTACACTGGCCTTAAAAATCAGAATAAAATACTAATGTTTGATGATGGAGTAGCCCGAATGTGTTCGTCTGGTTCTGGATCCAGGCCATGGTGCTGAATAATAGATAGTTTCTAGCAGAGATGGGTTCTGCAAGCTAAAGAAATACTTCAGATTTGGTGAAAAAGGGAAAACAGTACCTTGGGCAGTGGATAACTCGATGCTAATCAGGTCAGCAAATTCTTGGGGACGCTGGTCCCTGATGCAGCAGGAGTGTGATGAGGCTGATGGAAGAGATGCTCGGAGCAAGGCTGAGGCTCGTGGGGTGCTGCTCTTGTAATGCCTGTGGTGTGTGCTGTACCGCTCCGCCTGAGAGCCAGCCAGCCTGAGGAGGCTTTTTTTTTTAACTCTCCGAGCTGCAGGTACGAGCTCATCGTACCCTGGCATGGAAATGGCTTCCTGCAGGAGCCCCAAACTTGTACGATATTGCCTGAAGTGTGCTGCAGAGCTCTGTTCCCTCTAAACAGACACAGTCAGTATAAGCAGTCATTTAACAGCACAGAGAGGCTGAGTAAATAGTTGGGGTTGGGGGGAGGGAATGTTTTCCCCAAATATTCATTAGAAGTTGAAAGCGCATTTCAATTTGACCTTGTTCTCT